TCCGTTGCCGCCTGGTGTCAGCCTCGCCCCACGTGGAGACCTACGTGAGAGTGTTGGCACGCATGGTGGGGCCTGCAGCCATGGTGGTGGCCTCTAAGATGTTCAGGAAGGTGATATTCTTCCTGGCATCCGAGGCCGCTGCCCAGGAGGCAGTGGAGAAGGGTTTGGCGGTGGGGGGAGTCCATGTCCCACTCGAGCCTCTGGAGGACCTGGGTGTATGGGTGGTATTTTCCTCCCTTCCTCCCCAATGCCACCCTACTTCCTTTCCTCTCCACCCTGGGGAGGCCCTTTTCAGTCCTAAGTCCCCTTCCTGTGGGCTGCAAGGATCCTAACCTCTGCCACATCCAAGTCCACATCCAAGTCCAACTACTGCCGGCGGGACGTGGCGGAGAAGCCCTAGAAGGGCCATTTCTGGTGCCCCATCAAGGGGCCCAGTACAGGGTATGTACACCACCATCATGACATTAAATTGCCGGGGCTGTAGGGCGGGTCTCCACAGGAGCCGGGTGCTCTCCTTGCTTCGGAGGGGTGGGTATTTGGTGGTTTTCTTGCAGGAGACCCACACGACTCCAGCCTTCAAGGCTGGCTGGCATCTGGAATGAGGGAACAGGGTGTAATTCAGTCACCTCAGTGCCCATGCAACTGGGGTGGTCACCTTGTTCTCCCCTGCCTTCCGGCTGAAGTGCTGGGGTTTGCTGAGGTCATCCCAGGCTGCCTGCTGCACGTCCAGGACCACTTGGAGGGGCTGTTGTTGAACTTGGTCAATGTCTATGCCCCGAACACAGGTCCGGACCAAGTGACCTTTTATCAGCAGGTGGCCCCTTCCTTGGTACCCTGGATCCTTGCGAGTGCCTGGTCCTGAGTGGGTCTTTGGACACCACCCATGAGGACCGGGACCACTCAGGACTCGAGAACTGCCAGGCCATGGCAGGCGTCCTCAGAGAGATCACAGACCACCACTCCCTGGTGGACGTCTGGTGCGAACACCACCCGGACGACACTACCACATTCACCTACGTCTGGGTGGGGGACAATAGGTTGTGCCACTCCCAGCTGGACTGCATTTACTTATTATGCTTCCACCTAGCACAAGCCCAATCCTCCAGTGTCCCACCGGCCCCATTCACGGACCACCATTTGGTGGCCGTGGAGGCCTCTCTAAGTGCAGAGAGGCTGGAGCCGGCCTACTGGCACTTTAACAGTAGCCTGCTGGAGGACATGGGCTTCGTGGCGTCCTTCCGGGAGTTCTGGCTGGCCTGGCGCAGGCAGCGGCCCGCCTTTTCCTCGGCGCAGCAATGGTGGGACATGGGAAAGGTGCACGCCTGGCTCTTTTGCCATGGACCCCCAGCAGGGAGGGGGGCCATCATTCGATCCTGCTTCCAAGATGGATCACGGCTCCCACTTCTTCTATGCCCTGGAGAATAAATGAGGGGGGCCAAAAAGCACATCACCTGCCTCTTGGTGGAGGATGGCACCCCTCTCATGGATCCGGTGGAGATGGGTGGAAGGGTCAGGGCCTTCTACGCCAGTTTATTCTCCCCAGATCCGACCGAAGCCGACGCTTGTAGGGTGCTCTGGACTGAATTCCCAATGGTCAGCACAGGCGACCG